TTTTTTGGATCAGGGAACACATTGAACAGCCCACCTAATAAAATCCACGGTGTTGCCTACAAAGTCGACACGGCCTGCTATGATGACCCACGCTGAACTATCCCACCAAACTCAATGACAGGGGGGCGCTATCATCGTTCAACTATTATGGTTTCCAACATGGCAAAAATCGGAACCAGCGATCCGGTATTGATGGTGGCGCCCCGCTGTCAATGTCATGAATAGGACAGTTCAGTATTTTGGAACTATAGCCACTAACCAGCCACAGGTGGAATTTTTCCTGATTTTTTCAAAACACCATTATTTCAATACTCAATACGTTTATTGCTTCCATAATAGTAATTTTGTATGTTAATTTATAAAAATTTTGCTGCGGTAATGCACTCAAATAATAATCTTTGTGACCAACAACACCTACCTACCAACACTGAACCGTCTCAGTCATGACAGTCATCAGGAGAGGGCGCCACCACCAATACCGGACCATTAGTTCCTATTATAGATGACCCACGCTGAACTGTCCCGCCAAACTCAATGACAGGGGGGCGCTACCATCGTTCAATTATATGGTTTCCAACATGGCAAAAATCTGAACCAGCGATCCGGTATTGACGGTGGCGCACTATGGAGCGAAATTGAGATTTATGGACATAGCGATTTTTTTCACAATTTCTATTTGAAAAAAATACCTATCGATAGGGTATGTTATTCTGATGAATAAATATTATGAACGTTTTTCTCTAAAACCAATAGTTTGACTGGAAAAAAATATTTTCCATTTTCTTTGTATGGAATGAAACATAAAGTGGTCGATTTCGACTAAGCCTTGACAGATTTTGCTTTGAAACTACTTGAGCCTTGTTCTATGGCTTGTTGATTATAATCCTAGACTAACAGCGCGCGCACAAAGTTGCCCGTTCAGAAGTTATGAGGTTCCGAAAAATGAAAAGTAAAGTAAGTAAAATTGACTTTTATTTAGATAAGACGACAAGAGAAAGGTTAATTACATTACTAAAGTATATAATTTTCATGTTTTAGTTGAATCTTTAAAGATTTATACCCAAAAAAAGATACTTTTACTTACTTTAATTTTCATTTTTTGGAACCTCATAACTTCTGAACGGGCAACTTTGTGCGCGCGCTGTTAGTGTAGGATTATAGTCAACAAGCCATAGAACAAGGCTCAAGTAGTTTCAAAGCAAAATCTGTCAAGGCTTAGTCGAAATCGACCACTTTATGTTTCATTCCATACAACGAAAATGGAAAATATTTTTTTCCAGCCAAACTATTGGTTTTAGAGAAAAACGTTCATAATATTTATTCATCAGAATAACATACCCTATCGACAGGTAATTTTTTTAAACAGAAATTGTGAAAAAAAAATCGCTGATTTAATTCCTTTTAAGTTTATTAAAATGTGTTTTTAGCAGTAATTTGAGGTAAATTTACATTGTTAACGTATAGAATCTTTATATTTTTGTTAAATCTTTAAAGATATTCGAAAAAAAAGTCACTTTTACTTACTTTTTTTTAATTTTTCAGAACCTCATAACTTGTGAACGGGCAACTTTGGGCGCGCGCTGATAGCGTAGGATTATAGTCAACAAGCCATAGAACAAGGCTCAAGTAGTTTCAAAGCAAGATCTGTCAAGGCTTAGTCGAAATCGACCACTTTATGTTTCATTCCATACAACGAAAATGGAAAATATTTTTTTCCAGTCAAACTATTGGTTTTAGAGAAAAACTTGTGCAGCATTTATTCATCAGAATAACGTAACCTATCGATAGGTATTTTTTTCAAAAAGAAATTATGAAAAAAATCGCTATGTCCATAAATCGCAATTTCGCTCCATAGTGTGGCGCCCCATTGTCAATGTCATCGACAGGACAGTCCAGTATTTTGGAACTATAATGTCACGTTGGACAAACTTTTTAATTATGACATTTGCAGGAAGGGCGCTACTATCAAATTGGGCTGTTAGTTTTTTGATTTTTGCAGTGTAAGCAGTGTAAGTAATAAATGTCTGAGTCATAATAATAATTATTTTGTTGTTTTTCAACAAATAAAAAATAATACTTTGACAATATTTTCTATGCGTTAATTAAAGGATGTGCACGGGATTTATTTAAATAAACAACAATTTATTTGGCATCAGCAAGCCATTTATCTTAAACATCAACACTACGTTGTACAATATTTAAAAGTGGATTAAAATATGTTTAACATTAATACTTATTAAGGTAGGTGGACCACAAGTCCTTCGTTTACTTAAGACCCATGAATTCTCAGTACTGTTTATCATTTTCCAACAACTCCCTGTACTTTCACATCACATTTAATAATTTAGAAGTACTTGTAGTACTTGCAATCTTAATTTGGCTATAATTTCAAAAATAATGATATTTAGACAGTGTTTATAAAAGTAGATGAACAAAGTCCAGAAACATATCGTTTTATATTATTAACAAATTGTGTAGTTTTAGAAACCACAATAACAAAGTTAAAAATGTTAGTAAATATAATATTGTTTACAACAAGCACGCTTTAATATTTAAAATATTATATTTCAAAAAACAAATAAAATTTAATTAAAGCATTTAAAAAACTACAAGTAAAATAGGTATGAGATCATAGTCAATCATTTTTGTTAAAATTTTTGGATCCAATTATTATCCATCAAATATTTTAAAATCTCATTCATGCACGTTTCCATAATTACATTCGCTGTCCAAAATACATACAACCCATACAACGCCTCTTCATAATCAGCACACCGTAACGATAAACAGTATTTATAGCCTTTCGTCTAAAATTATCCATAAATTAAACATTTATGTTAACATTGTTAAGCCTCTAAAAGTTGGTATAGGTACATACAAAGGGCAATAATTATTGTATTATTTTAGACAGATAGGGAGATTATTGTAAGTAAGAAGCAATATTCTACGTCTTTATTTCAAGGTCGATGGAAACATATTTAAAACTTACCTATTGGACATAATATTTTTATCAAAACATTGTAAAATAATATAAAATACTATCGAACACTAAAGTTAAAAGTATTTGTTTAAATACAAATGTATAGATAGATTTTTTTAATTATAGATAAATAGATTTTTATTTTTTTCTAGTGTAATAGGAGTCGAGAAGTTTGGCACTTCAAAATTATAATACAATCATGTATAAAAATATACATTGAAAATATACTAATTTTAAACAGCTTCATATGTGAAACATAAAGACATAATACCAACAGTCCAACATTAACAAGTCAGTCCACACTGTCCAGTCGCCAGCAAATCGCCCTTCATCAATTTTTTTTTTATTATTAATACTAAAACGCACTTTTTGATAGAAGATAGAAATAGTAAGGGATAAGCCTTAATGAGAAATTCAGAAATTGAGCTTCAATAACAGCATACTCTACTTACTAAAAATTATAATTCTCAGTAATTTAGTGGTCCATTATCCTGATCTGCCGGCAACCGTACTTATCCCCAACAAAGTATTGTACTTCGTCCTCATAAAAAATAACCTTAATAAAAAGTTCTACAAGTATTCAGTAAAGCTACACTTATTTATCTACCTTGCATAAAATAAAAAAACATTTATAGGAATAATTGGGTAGGTGACACCATTAATCAATAACTACCACTCACAAATGTAAGGTTCCTCTTCTAAGATAAAAATCAATGAAGACACAAAATATCAAGTTTTGACAACTCATACAAATATGTCAATCGATCAGTGGAGTCAACTACCGAAAGTATTACAAGTTTTAGTGCTAGACAGTTTAATAGGACAGACATTTATCTCGCAAATAAACATATTAAACGTTGTATTCAAATGCAGTCCTTGTGGAAGAGTATTAAAGCTTTGTTTTATATTGTAACTCAGCTTTACCAAGCAAAGTACAGAAAATTATGAGCAAGTATACTAATAGTGACCAATGAGCTCAAAATGTTTTAAAATTCCACATTTATACAAATAAAATTATTCCTAAGAGATCATGATAGCGGCTTTGGCATTAAAATTATATAAGGGCATGAAAGCTGTAATCATCTGACACGCTTACATCTACTTAATTGAACTACAACAGTCGTTTGATTTTTAAAAAAAATTATAAAGCCCTCGTTCAACTGTACTTCAAACGTGGTTTTGTTATAATATGATTGTAGGTACAATAAACACTCTAATAAAATTTATTTATTTTTGATCTGAAACAACAATTAGAGTTAAAAATATTAAGTAACTTAGATGCTCTAACATTTAAGAATACATTCAAATGTAATTTTGGCCAATAGAGATCGTGGTCGAATGTCGAAGTATCAACGTGAACAGTACGCAAACTCGTCGTAGAGGGAGCCACTAGCACAAACAGTAAACAACTCGCCATGTCGTATTTATTCGCAACAAATATCTGTGATATGTTATAACGTATTGTTGATATAATAATAATTATAGTTATTATTGTATGTTTGCAATACATTCACTGTTTAAACGCTTGTGCTAGTGCTGCACTCTGGCGGCGGAACATGTCAGTGAGGGCTATCGTTTTTATACTTAACAGTTGGCACCCCTGGCGATTGACAGGACCTTACTCTACAGTGGCGCCATCTTGATGAGTGCAAATACGATAGTCCTCCTACCAGTAGCGGCGTAAGGGGGGGGGCGGTGGGGGCGGTCCGCCCCGGGTGCCAAGCATCAGGCGGTGACAAAAGTCGCGCAGATTAGTACTCACTGACGCATCTGCATGGCAAGGACGGTCGTGATGTCATGACAGGGGGGTGCCATTCTGGGGTGCCTTAGGCTATAANTACTCACTGACGCATCTGCATGGCAAGGACGGTCGTGATGTCATGACAGGGGGGTGCCATTCTGGGGTGCCTTAGGCTATAATTAGACGAGGGGGGAGGGGGGGGGGTGCCGCCCCGGGTGCCAACCTATGCTACGCCGCCACTGCCTCCTACCACTTTAGCGCTCACAAGTTGGCGCCACTGTCTTCGCTACTAGCAAGTGACAGGATCTTACTCTACAGTGGCGCTAACTGGTGAGCGCTAAAACGATAGCCCTCGTTGCGTCCTGTTCGAGAGGTGTCGCGCGCCAGCCGCCTACAACGCGGGCGTCACTTACTGCTCGCTCCTGACTAGGGCGTTTGGTTGGGGCTCTTCGTCATCGCAGTTGCAGCACTCGGCACAGTGCCCGCACTCCGTCTGGTCGTCGGGTTGACCTTGGGCAGCTCGGGCAAAGGAGTCGCACTTTGGGGGCCCGATGCACTGCTCGAGGCTCGGGTCGCGCTCGCGAGCGATCCTACACAGCCTGTCCTGCTGGGCCGCGTCCTCGGCGGCGTCCTCCTCGCTCTTCAGCACCAGCCCGAAGCTGTACACGGTCACCATGATGTAACCCATGGCCCCTGTGGATGCCGAATAAAGTTTTGTCATGAGGACGAATGAACTTTTTTTTTTTTTTTTTTTCTCTTATATCCGTGGTCCCAGCGGCAATCTGTAGGGAACTACAATAATCCACTCCTGTGTCCGTTTGCACTGTTCTTTGTCATGGGTAGGGTGGATTCCAGTGACTCAGTTGCCCTCAGTGGTCATGGTTTCTCAACTGTCCTGGAATCTACTAAGGAGACCCCTGACACTAGCTCTTTGCAGTCTGTTGAATAGGAAGCCTTCAATGGTCATGAGTTGTTGTACTGAAGAGTTTGGATGATTTGAAAGTCTATCCTTGTAGCGGAGTGTGTGGCTCTTTATTTCCTCTCTGACTGTGGGCAATGGCAAGTCCTGATAGATGAGCTTGTTGCTGATATACCATGGGATTTGGTAAATCAAACGTATGGCTTTTGTCTGAAAGCGCTCGATTATGTCGAGATTGGAGTTGGCAGCTGTTCCCCACAGCTGTATCCCGTAGGTCCAGATAGGTTTAAGGATGGTTTTGTAGACCATCATTTTGCTACTGGTGTTCAGCTGTGACTGGCCTCCGACAAGCCACATCATGTTTCTTAGTTTGGCATCTAGGTGCTTCCTCTTTGTCCATATATGCTTTCTCCAGGTTAGCCTGCGGTCCAGGTGCAAGCCCAGATACCTAACGTCCTCAGCCTGAGGTATTTGGATACCATTAAGTTTGACCGGTGGGCAGGAGTTTCTTCTGAGAGTGAAGGTTACATGCACAGATTTTTCTCCGTTCGCTTTAATACGCCATGAATGGTACCATTTCTCCATTTCCGTCAGGCTTTCCTGGAGATAGAGTGAGGCCGTGACTGGATCGTCGTGTGTTGCCATTGTTACCGTGTCGTCAGCAAAGGTGCCTGTGAATGTATTTGTAGTTGTTGGCAGGTCTGCGGTAAACAATAGGTACAGCACGGGCCCCAAAACACTACCCTGGGGTATACCGGACGCTATGTTGCATAGGGCAGAACAAGAGTCTCCAGATCTGACTTCGAAGCATCTGTCTCCCAAATACGACCCAAGTATTTCGTAGAACGGGCATGGGAGGTTCTGTTTCAGTTTGTACAAGAGCCCTTTATGCCAGACCTTGTCGAAAGCTTGACTTATGTCCAAGAACGCAGCTGAGCAGTATCGTTTCTTTTCTAGTGCTTCTGAGATGATGTTTATGGTTCTGTGGACCTGCTCAGTAGTGGAGTGTCTTTCCCGGAAACCAAATTGGTGTTCAGGTATCAGATCACCGATGTGGGGCTTCATTCGTTTCAACAGAATTTTTTCGAATACCTTCGACATCAGCGGTAGAAGACTAATAGGTCTGTAGGAAGATGTAGCGTTTGGGGGCTTACCGGGTGAACGAATATAATAATACGAATGAACTGATTCAGATATTTTTATTGCAAGAGTGGGAACATAAAAGGGACCTGGGATAGGCTAGTTTCCTAAAAAACTTTTAGTCTGTCAATTACATTATCAAAAAATATTGGACACATATATTTTTATTTCTCAATCAAACAAGTAATTATGAATTTATGATGGGTTGAAGTTCCGCGTGAAGTCACAAAGTGCTACACTTTTAACTTTAAGCACGTATTGACGTCACGGGAAAGAAGAAGCATTTGAACTTTGACACGCTTTATCTCTTTAAATTTTCATTAGTTTGAAAAAGTGAAAAATACGTGTCAAATATTTTTTTAAAGTTATCCGACGGACTAATTTCTAACTCTTGGTTTCTTACCCAGGAAACATCCCTATTATGTTGGCATTTTGTAGTGATGCGAACGATAATATTAAAGATGAAGAATGTTTTACGACGAGGTGAATCAGTTTTATTGAGCACTAAGTAGGTACTCACGTTCGATTCACGGGACGAGGTCGTTATTGAAGCTGTACAGGCGATCTTTTAAGAAGAAGCGCACGAAGCCATGAAGGAACTCGGTAATCACTTACCATCAGGTGATCCGTCTGCTCGTTTGACTCCTGTCACATAAAAAAAAAAGTGTAGTTAACTGTTCAACCGCCGCGTACTCACCGAACCACACTGACATCTTGAGCAAGAGCATCAGGATGTCGTCGCAGGAGCGCGCCGCGCGGACGCCCACCAGGCCCGCGTACGCCGTCCCCACAAGTAGCAGCAGGCCCATCAGCGTCACCCACGTATGCACGTACTTAGCCGAGCGCTGCAACATCCAACAGGTTAACCTCCCCTTTGATCCGCCCCATCAACAAACCGCGGGAGACTGCACGCAGGCCTATCAGGCTGTGGCAACGCTCTGGGCTACTGGGTCTGGATAGAGATCGCTCAGTATTGGTATGGGCTAATTGCAGTTGGTGGCTACTAGGTGGACCGACGATCTGGTAAAGGTCGCGGGAAGAGCCTGGATGCGGGCAGCGCAGGACCGTTCATTGTGGAAAACCTTGGGGGAGGCCTTTGTCCAGCAGTGGACGTCATTTGGCTGAAACGACGAATTGCAGTTGGTACGAAGGAAAGGACAGAAGTTCAGGAGTGTAGGCCAAATCATTCGTCTCTGGCAAATTAAACAAATTCGTTCTCCAGCAGTGGAGACTAAACGACCTGGTAATGAGGAACTACTCAATATGTTGAAGATTTTTCTTCTTCATCGCTACACTCTTGACAGAGTAGTCATCGTCGTCACATCTGGTTTGGTGACAAGTTTCACAATCTGTCGCCATTCCTCCCGTAGTGCAGCCTTTCTTGTTCATAGGTGGAGTGTCCAAGGAGTGAAAGTGGTGGTAACTAGTAAGGCAAGTTTTTTTAGACTAAAAATTATCGACCGAATTGAGAAGCTCCTCCTTTTGTTGAAGTCGGTTAAAAAGAGTACATTCTGCTAAATAAGTTGAATGATGAATTGGCCAACCTTGTTCAAGCCGCTGATGAGCAGGAGCGCCAGCACGACGTGCGTAAAGGAGCAGGCAGTGAATATGAGTGCCGCCAGGAATATCTTGGAGTAGACCAGGTCCTCCGCGTCGTCGACCGTGCCCATGCGCTCCTTCATCTTCACCGCGAAGGAGCCGCACGCCGCCGTCAGAAATGTACCTATGGCCTGCACAAGGATATTAAGTCGGCCGTTTGGTGTAGTGGTTCGAAGCGGACTACTATTCCGGAGGTAGCGGGTTCGATTCCCGCACAGTACAAACATTTGTGTGCATGAACATATTTGTTTGTATTGGACTGGGTGTTTTCTATGTACATATAATATGTATGTATTTACAAAAAAAAAGTATTTAAGTATGTTTATATCCGTTGTCCGTTTGGGGGAGGCCTATGTTCAGCAGTGGACGTCCTGTGGCTGAAATGATGATGATGATGATATCCGTTGTCTAGTACCCATAGTACAAGCTTTGCTTAGTTTGGGACTAGAAGCGCAGTGTAAAATGTTAAGGATATTTATTTATTATATCTGACGGACAGGAACGATGGGCAGGGCACATAGTACCGATGGTGGCCGATGGGGCAGCAAGGTTCTGGAGTGGAGGCCACGTACCGGAAAACCCAGCGCGATACGTCCACCCACAAGGTGGACCGACGACCTGATAAAGTTAGCAGGAAGGCGCTGAAAGCAGGCCGCAAACAACTGGGCGATTGTGGAAATCATTGGGGGAGACCTATGTTCAGCAGTGGCAGTCCTGGATTTGTCAATAGGCCGTATATGTCGCGGCCTAGGGGCGGCAGATTTCAGAGGACGCTTACTCGATCTCAGAAGATGATAAAAGTCAAATGAGATCAAACAACAAAACCGATAATAACAAGGTATTCTTTAAAAAAACACTAAATGTTTGACATATTGCTCGTAATCGTAATTTTCACATAATCTTCCTAATCTGAAACTCACCGGATTAATAAACCTTTACTTTTTTACTTTGTCTATGCTGTCATTTGTCTCATACTTGAAAGAAATACATTGGATTGGTTTTTGCATAAAAAGTAACATACCTACTGCTAATATTATTTTTACAGTAATTCATACTAAAAAGTATTCACTGGTCAGATTTCATTGCTAGCCAAGATACAGATTGCTTTAACAGTGGTGGGCACGAGATGTGTGTTTGTACTCACCAGATGCGCGTATGCGATGATCTTGACTCCGGACTCCAGGCTCAAGCAGCAACAGAATGAGGTAACGTAAAGCCTCATCCCCATCATGCACACTGTGGTAACCTCTCGACCCTGCCCCGCTGGCTCCATCTAATTGACGTCACCACACTACAAACACAGACAGTTTTGATAAGGATATAAACCAATCCTGTCAGCAACCCAGACAGAAATGAATTGATCTGGCATCTGGCGTAGCTCTACTGTGCTGGAAGTTTTCCATGCCAACAAGGATTTTATCGCAGCATGAAATTACACCAAGCCTTCAATGTCCTCATTCTGAACTACAGCTCAAAGTGCCATACTTAAGAATTAAATTCCAACATCTGATTAGCTCATGTAATCAAGTTACTGTCTCTAGAACAGATCCACGGATGCGTTGTATTTAAAAATACTGTAAATTATCAAATACTTGGTATAAATGTGGCGTTTATAACGCCATGGCATTGGCAATAATACGCAACAGTTTATTAATCGCCGGAAAGTTCATTTAAAATAGGCATTAGCAGTGGATCAAATGTCAGAGTAGTAAATTGTTTTGCTGGCTAACAATTTTTTTATCATCATGGTTTCGCCATTTTACTTTGTATCATTGTCTCCGATTTGGCTATACCAATTTACATAATTAAATTAATAAGTACTAGTAATTAATTCTCATTGAAACAACATGTAGAAATTATAGTGAGTACTTTTATCTAGGTACATTGAAACATTTAAATGACATATAGATGATAATTGCATAGTCATCCTCATGACAGATTCACATTATTGAAGAAAAACAACAAACGGAAGAGAATACAGCGAATGCTGAATACATACATGAACATATAGAATATCAATACATCAAATTCGCAAATAAGCTGAAAAATAGACAAACCTTAGAAAAACACAATTAAAATGTCGAACACTTGTGTTCAAAATAGACTAGACCAGGGGTTCCCAATCTTTTACGTCCTGCGGCGCAGTTACAAATTTGGTATTATGTCACGGCCCCCTACCCTTTAAAAAAGATACTGTCGAAAGAAATAGGCACCCATAACGATAGTTGAAAGTATTTAGGTAGATAGGAACAAAAATTATGAAATCTTATCTACAGTATGAAATTTCTACGGCGCACACTTTGGGAACCCCTGCTCCAGGTGCCCTAAACTAGACCAACAGGTTCATCATAGGTAACTAGCGAATGTGAGAGTTGACTATCGATTTTTATGAACGTAACATAATATTTTTAAAGTAACTTACCTAATTACAGGAATATCAGGACCAGGATGGTCCAGGATCCCAGTTATTGCGCCGCACACACCTGATTCAAAACCCGCAGCCCCAATTCACTTGTTTTTGTTTTGATCTCTCCAACGCGCATGCCGCGCCAAACAATTTTGAACTAAATCTGCTTTACCGATAAGAGAGAGACAACACTAAGCACTTATGAATAAGTAAAAGAGATAACAATACAAATCGTACGTAGTATATCAATCAAATCCCCGGCGCGGCGAAATCAATACTTTTTTTTTCTTTTGAGTCAAAGTTTCTGTGTTGGCAAAAGTGTACGATTGTGCAGCCATCGATGTGTAGGTACGATTGTACGATTGTAAATAAATAATAATAATTGCAAAGATTTTACTTCAATATTTAATATTGAAGTAAAATCTTTGCTTATTTATTTAATCTCTATTCGTTTCTCTCTTGATTGTCCTTTGCACATTGATATTTAATAATTCCACCGCGCTATTTCGCTTCCCACTCAAAAATTACTGACGTCATTGTGACAGCTAATGTCAGAAACGTTTCGTTCCACAAAGTTATTTTGCCTTCAAAGTTTAAAAATGGTGCTCAATAAACTAAAATGTAAGACAATTGTTTAGTATGTGTAACAAAAACATTTATTTAAATTATTAACAATGTTATTCACTTAAAACGAACGCTGAACGCAACTTACGTTCGCAAATTGGTACAGCAAGACCTCAACTTTTTTATTTACTTACTAGGCACTTAGTCCGTATTTTTTTTAAATTTATCCATTAAAAATAAATGAAACTATCACATCAAAATGGGTAACACTTAGATGAGTCTGTAAAATGCTGCTACAACATAGCGTAAGTACACGTATTTAGCACATTGTTGACTAGAATTGTTCACAGGCCGTGTTCCTCCCTGAGGACCGCCTTGTAGAGCCGGCCGGAGTGCTGGAAGCGCTCTTCGTCCTCCTCGTGCATCAGCTGCTTGTGGCGGCTGTGCACTATCACTATGCAGTATACTGAAATACCTGGGAAACATATTTTGCATTTAGTTTTCTTTGGTGGGGCTAATCATAGGCTAGTTTCCTAAAGAAAATTTTTAGTCCGTCAATTTTAATATCAAAAATTATTGGACACGTGTAGTGTTGTATTTTTGATTGTCAATCAAACAAATAATTACAAAGTTATGGTCCGTTGAAGTTGACGACCGTCACAAAGTGCTGCACTTTAAAGCACTCATTGACGTCACGGGCCTCTCCTTTTAAACTTTGGTGCACTATAACTCTTTAAATTTTCATGTTTGAAAAAGTGAAAATACGTGTCGAATATTTTTTGATAAGTTAACTGACGAACTAAATTAAAACTTGTTTTTTTGCCCTGGAAACATCCCTATTGACGGGCTTACTGCTATCAGAATAACAAAAGTGGACTTACAAGCCCTGGCGAGATAAATGCAGATGATAGCTGACTCAATGCCCAGGATGGTCCCCGAGTCCTGGATGACCAGGCTGATGCCCGTGAGGCAGAACACGAAGTAGATCGCCGTGATGATCCCGGTCACAATCGTCCAGGGCAGGGTGAGAGAAGGCAGTTTCTGCACAGACAGTAACATGCTGTTGAATTTTGAGGTTTGTTATAATTTTCATCAAGTACAAACCCACTGTTACTAGCTAAGGAAATTGTCAAAATCCTGGTAGGATTTTGTCTACTATTACTAAACTCTCATAAAAAACTCAGAAAACTCATTCATTTTTGCAAATAGGCTTTTAAAAAGCACTTTTACACGTCCCAGTATTAACCCTACAGCTGCTTCGGGACAATAAATGGGTCAGCGCTGAGAAGAAGCAGCGCAAGAAACTCAGTCACTATTGAGAACTTCTGCGACTCTACATTCGTTAGTCGGGAAACTCAGGAAATACATTACAAGGAGGATTAAGAAAAGCTTTTCATCTGACAAATTAATAGTACTAGACTAGTAGTCCTGAGAGAAAGAGTAGGACAAATATCTGAGTTTTTAATCTGAGTTTCTTGCGCTGCTTCTTCTCAGCACTGGCCCATTTATTGTCCGGAAGCAGTGGTAGGGTTAATACTGGGACGTGTAAAAGTGCTTTTTAAAGCCTACTTACAGAAATAAATGAGTTTTACTGAGTTTTTTAATACGTGACTTAATAAATAACCTACCTTCCAAGCAGCTAGGATGAGTAGCAATGAACACAAGAGGTGGACGCCGCTGACGACGGCCGCAGTGACGTACAACACGAATTTGTGCACTGACACGGAACCATTATTCCTCTCGTCGCCTAATGGCCACAGGGTCACCATGAGGCAGTAGATTGTTAGCTCCAAGAGCGCCCATATCTGGAATCACTAATTCTGTAGCGCCTACAAAACTAACTGAGCAAAGTATCAGCGTTAAGTGAATTTGCTTACACTAAATACTTAACATAAATGCACATTCAATTTTTTCATCGACAGCTGATATTGTCTGTTGTGTGTTGCAATGAAAATATTTTTAAATTACATTTTATTACTCAGTTCAAAGTTTAAAATTGTCCTTAGTCACATATCTAAAGTACCTAATGCAGTTAATAATGTGAATTATTGATGTAAACACGAATCATCATAAGTAGAGTAGCCCAGAATCCCAGGTGTTTCAAGAATTTATTTACCTTTAAGGCTAAACTATTTAAACTATTTATGACTAAGTATGAATGATATGCCCTACTTACTAATGTACGTCTTGTCAACGTTTACTTAAGTTATCTCAGGTGGTAAATAGAACCAAGGTTATGTTGTGATGTCATAAAGAAAGTTAAGTCTATTATTTAATTCAAAGACAAAAGATTTTTTATTGACCGTAAATATCATTACTGAATGGTTCCGATATGAAAACACAACATAAAAGTACACAAAAATGCATAGAAAAAATGCACTATCGTTATCAAAGGATGGTTGAACGATTTTTCATTTCCAGACAATAAAACTACATTAATTTATTATCTCAAACTCAACTGATAAGACACAAAATGCTGCTGAACCCAATATAACATATTGACGACTTCCATAAAGTTAATACTTATTTAGTATTAATTTACCGTGTATAAACATCCAATGATGAGCGTGCCCGCCTGCAGGCTGCAGCAGCAGCACCTCTTCACCATCGGCACTCCCATCGTCACTCACGGAACTGAGTCCACCATCACAGTTAAAAATCAACTCATTTTGTGGCAGAAGCATGAAAGTTATTATTTCTTCAGTCCGATTGTAATCACGCGCGTCGTTTCAGAAGCGCAGGAGCGTTATCACTGGTCGATTAGAGGCGGCCATGATTTCGCCAGTGATAAGAAATGCGCAAGCGACAGATTAATATAATATGCGGTACGTGTTTTGCTGTAGATGTAAACGGTGATATTTCGCGGATTGACATTGAACTTGTAGATCTATTGCTACCGCGCACGGAATGTCTATAAATAAAATACACGTACATTATGTTTGAAGTATTCTTCCGAAAGAGCTAGAGTAAATATTCACGTGTAACTAACTAATCCATACTGAGTTTTACACGATTCTAAAATCAATAAAGAACTAAGTAGATAAGCTTTTCTCAAATATCATAGGCACTTATTTCCATTTATTACTTACTTTCATCATAGATATCAAGGGATTCTACGATAAGTAAGTAGTCTACGAAAGAATTCTTAGTACTTACCTAAGCAAATCCGCGATAGATCCCGTCAATCAATAAGTACAACAGTACAATACAAATACATAAAGCGTCTCCCATAACACCCAGACTCGAGTAAATTTAGAAAAGGGAAAGTGTTAGCGCACGTGAACATTGTCATTCAACAGCTCGACAACTGCAGCCGGTGGTAGCCAAAACCACACTTATAATATAACTTTAATTATTTGACTAACTTTTACTTAAAAGTAATAGGACACTTCGATGAACCGAATTCAGAATAGATAAAAGTACAAGTTAAAGATAAGAGTTTGGAATGAAGTAGGAACTGATACGAGATCAAAGAAAAAATTCCGTGAAACGTTTCGTAATTTTCTCTTACCTATTCTTTATCTGATTGAATCCACCTAAGTATTTATACCGGCGCTATTGTCAATAATAAATGGAAATGATAATAATATGACGAATCTCTATAAAATCATTGCTTCGTAGATAAGCTGATAATAGTAATTTGCTATATACGTTCAGTAATCGACACAGTTATTGTGGGGGAAACCCTGTCGCTAAGTCATTTCGCGAATGTATTACAAATTAATTATTTAATTTGAATCATCTGTGAATTATTTCTATTTAAAATATATTTAAAATATATTTGTAAATATAAGTGGCTTTAGAAAATGTGTTTCCCGGTGTACGACTGCTTCTTCTGTATCAAACTCGATGCTGCTTCGAAGATAATTGGATTTATTTATGCGGTATGTATTCACTACTACTTGTATCTACTCAATTGGCAAACTTAAAAGATACAAAAGCTACTACCTAAACTAAGTAATAATTCACGTTTTTTTTAATATTTCAAGCGGGGACCTACTTTCCTACGAGTATTTAGGTAACTCCCGTAAACAAAAATATGTGGCAGGTCATTGATCTCTCGGTTGTAACTGATTAAATGACTAAGCCCGTAATCATAGTACACATTTACAATAATTACCAACGAAAAAAGTTGTTCTCTCAGATAATCTTTCTTTAGCCCTTGATGATATTCAGTTTTGTATAAAAAATAAAATGGCTTAATTTATTCAAAAATAATGGTCATTTTTGTGACTCTTTCTTGTCGGGCCGGAGTAAGACTATGAGAATACAGCTCTATCACAGATAGGCTCTATTTTTAATTACCTACCAGAATTTGTAGATTACGTACGATTATAATTGAATCTTTTGGGAAATATTGGCAGGTGCTGTGCGCCGGTTTGACAGTGCTTTACAGCGTGCCCCTAGCGCTGGCGTGGGACGCCCTACCACCCTCCCGGGCGCGCTTCTACTTCGCCATGGCCGCGTCCATGGGCACCCTGGCCGTGGCCTCTTGTATGCTTATTGTTGGCGCTTTTTGGGTAAGACACCACATATTTTCCGCCATGTAATCTTGTGGCAATGAACAGGACTGGCAGCGCAACAAACCGATGCAATGGCCGGTTGAGAGGGATCTTTGGAGAATCGGCGTAATTATGGTCGACCTTATTCGAAATTTGCCTTGGGGTCATAATATAGAATTGAACATTGAGGCTAACAAGGCGGCAGGAGTCGTGGAGAGCGCAAGTTATCATAAACTAGAGAAAGGTAGTTTAATAAAAATCCTACTTATGTGTAAAAGCAAAGTGATGCACAGTATGCACAACACAATGCACGCTCCAGCGATGACTAAATACGTGCGCTTACATCATGATAGAATACAATAAATGAGTTGTAAAGCTATGAATCAAAGCTAACATGACATTTAAAAGAAACACATCCATAATACATAATCCCTAGCCGCTATACTAAAAACTGTTGGGTTTTAGCGTTATTTCATTCAAACGCTGTGTTTATGTAACTGTTACAAAAATAGATAACATTGACGATGGTAATCACACATGTATCTGATCGCAGAGCTCCCAATTAGATTTCCTACTTGTTATCAGACAGCGAGACACGAATCTCGTCGAGTCCGGCACGTGTATCTCTCATTCAGGTTATATCTGCCTGCAGCATGGCTGCTGTCATTCAAGCTCTATGAATCAGATCACAGAATTCAGAACGTCTAGTTTGATTAATGTTATGTCCACTGTGATCAAACTTTAAATCCGGTTTAGGAGTACATATCTGCTGTAACTAGGTCTAGCTGGATTAAGGCATGTTTTAAATCTATGATTAATAGCTATTTCTAATCTGTTTAACACCATTTTAAAAGATAGGTACACAATTCTCTAGCGAGCTACCAGTAATCAGATTTACTTTGACAGAAAAAGCCAGTGTTCTTCCTGCCGTGGGTGGTAGTGGCGTCACTAACGAGCCTGCCCCTGATGGTGACGTGCGTGGTGGGCATGGTGACCCTCCCGCTGCGTCACGCTAACGCCGACAGCGCTGCTGACGAGAGCTGCATCATCTCTATGTACTTCGTGCACGCGAGTGAGTGAACCAATGTTCTTCCTGCCGTGGGTGGTGGTGGCGTCACTGACGAGCCTGCCCCTGATGGTGACGTACGTAGTGGGCATTGTGACCCTCCCGCTGCGTCACGCCGACGCCGACAGCGCCGCTGACGAAAGCTGCATCATCTCTATGTACTTCGTGCACGCGAGTGAGTGAACCAAAGATCTTTATAACGTGAGCGATTACTGGATAATCTTCCTTGATGGACAACTGTTGATTACACCTTTTCACTAAAGCGTGGTGACAAGAAACTACTACCTACTTCATCTTTTGCTATAAAAATCGCACGACTCTCTTAAAAAATGCGGGTTACTCTTTTCGTGTAGCGGATACTCACGTGGTGGATAGCAAATCTTTGAACAGCTCTTTGGTATAATCATTCATTATACGACTAATTTCAGTATTCTTTGCCCACAGTTCTGCTGTTTTACTTCTCCTGTGTGGTCAACAGCCGACGAAAGGAGCTCCTGCGACGGAACGACAAAGCGGACAGCGCTCTGTACACCGTGATACACAATCAGTACCACACCAAAGTTTAGATGTATGGAATTAAGGTCTGTAATAGCCCACCGGAATATCAAAATTGAGGAATTTTAAGAAAAGAAGAAATTGTAATAGGTACGTGCTATTGCATTTGTAATGCATTTTTTGGACGGAACGAGAATTCTGAGTAAATTATAAGAAATCGACAATGATATTACTTTAAAATATATTTTATTCTCTTAACAATAAATTAATTTAGATTGATCAGTGTTTTCTTATTTGCGGCCTCCAACGACCAACATTTTCACCAAATGAGCTTTAAGCTACACCAATAAACTCAAATCTTCTCGATTCACTTGCGACTCTACTGGTTTCATCCAGGAGAAATTGTTTTTACTATCTTGATTCTATATCCACTCCAAACGGATTTAACTCCGGTGTGATCGTGATGCTACTATCTTGACTCCTCTTCGAGTATGTCCACTCCAAATCGATTTAGCCCCAGTGCGATCGTGACGCTTCCTGGTGTCCGATCCGATTGCCTAACGACGCGTGCGCGCAACACGTGGAAGCGATTACCCGGCGACGTCGCGCGGGACGCCGCAACAATGGTCGGCGCACGCGCACGTACTCTCGGCTACGATAAGTCTTGTATCTTAGCCCCGTTGTAGAAAAGAGAGTAATGTTTTTTGATTTGTTTGTCTATCTGGACCGGTGTGTCCTGTCAGGACCAAGGGTAGAGTTCCCTAAGTCGAATGTATTTCAAACTAAGTGAAAATGCATCCTTGGACCACAACGTAGTGTCTAGTTGGGTACATACAACACAACGCACTGATGATTTAGAACTGATGTGGCCTTTGGGACTCGCCTAGGCCCATGAATCCTCTAGTCTTTGCAAAGCGCCACCACTACTTTACCACGACTGGGCCCGGTGAAGAAATAGGTATCTTTCTTCTGTTTATACCCGTATGGAAGACGACAGATGTACCTATATTGGCTATTTAATTTTGCACTACCAGCACTCTCAAGTCTCCTCTGTCCGTATGGTGTGCCCTAGGAAGGTCTACTAGAGAGTTGCATCTTTGGTACCTTTATAAAACGGCATTACCCTCCAAGCGTGATATAATGTCCATTGTTAAAGCAACTCGACGAGTATGTTTTGGTGCAAGTAATTATTCCAGTCAGTGTACCTGGCGGAAAATTGTCGTTTTCACCGAAGCAGATGCGACAATGGCGAGCTCTTGGAGATATTATAAATAGGAGGCGCACGCGCCGCGGGCCAGTCACATGGAGAACATGTCATTATACAGATAAATATGGTGAGTAATACAAATTAAATAACATTTAAAGAAGTAATTGCACCGTATAATTCACAGTAGTCCACAACTTAATCACTGCTTAATCAATGGAACACCACTATAAACGTCATCGGAAATTGTCTTTAATAATCTTCAAGCCAGTAGAAGATAGAGTATCATCAACTATAATGATGTGCACACACACAAACTTATCTATGACTGCTAAGAGAAAAAATATTAAGCTGATTGAAAACGTATATTACAAAATTAGTTTGCCTGCATTTATTAATTTTGTATAGCTACGCTCAGAAAACTACCCAACACAGGACAAGGTATGTCATATTATGTAGAGTCATTGGGTATTCTGTAGTAGAGTAGCTCCAGCTTAGCGACAGACACATAATTTGCACATGGTAACAAGTTCGCATAGATTTACTGGCCCAGTAACAGTGCGGCACCGATCCGTCACGCATGACATGACATAAGCGGTGGCGACGCAACACTTTGTTCCCACGGCGCGCGCCGCTTTCGCGAAGGCACCTGCGAATCTGTGCCGAGGAATGTCGCAATAGAAACTGATAGAGTAAACTCATTTCTAGCTAAGCTATTGAGTAATATAAGACACTGAACAGGTTTTTCGTAAAGTGCCTAAATGACCTGAACAAATTGAAGGTTTATTTTAGATTTCCGGAAGTGTAGGTACGTAAGATTCTGTATCCGTGTATCTACTCAGGCCCCTCTTTCCCACTGAAGTGCTCAGTGGGCACGTGCCCAGGGCCCTTTTTCCAGATGATAAGGGCCCCCCTTGATCCTTAAGATTCTTAAGTGCCTAGGGTTAAAGACGGCCCTGTATCTACTAAAAGCACATGAATGAATAAGTACGGTCCGTGTTGAACACGAGTATCTCTACCTTAGATTGTCATTTGTCCCTTCTACTTTTCTCAGGCAGTAAGCTGTAGATATTAATAACATAAGAGTTATGGTGTGAAAGAGAGATGGACGCATTTGCCTAATCATATTTCAGGAAGCTTGCTTGAATTTAACATTCAAATCAAAGAAAGAAAAAGGCTCGAGAACTAATGTGGACAGTCTTGCACAGTTGCACAGGATAGTGTTACTGGTTATAATTTTATTAGATTCGTGCCAGCGGTCCGATGACATAACCCTTATAATTCCAGCCGCGATTAGCTTGTCAAATCTTATTAATGATGTTTTTGTTGTTTATGATAGATAGGTACAAGTCGCATTTTCTCACATTGCAAATTCTACTAATCGCATCGGATATTGATAAATAACTTTTATGGGTCATAGACGCACATACCATATCTACTTCATATCTTTTCTAAGAACGAAATAAGTAATTTTGCTAACGAGCGATAATAGCCTATAAAACATTGTGAATTCCGATTAAAATTAAAAATCGAATTCAATTTTACATCACCGTTTATCAATTACTTATCTACCTGCAAAAAGGAGATGGACGAAACGTTCTTGAATCGAAATCTACAAGAAAAGTAACATTAAGTATGTAGGTACTGACTAAAGATGATTCAAGACTGATGGCCTAAGTAACCAAGCTCAAAAATGTCTGAAAGTTGTTCACCAAGTTTGAAACATAAAACTAGGTACGAGTAAGCTCTTCGCGCGCGAGAGCCCACTCTCCAAGCGCTGCGCAAACATCGATCTCTGATAACGATGGATGACGTGACCCAGATCTTAAATATTTGGCAAGCAGTTAGAGGCCTTCTATTATTCTCTCGCCTCATATCATTAATCAACCGTCAGATGATAGATACATCTATTTAAAACAGGCTCAATCAATACACTTATCTATCAAGCATTGACTAACTGTAAAGCTTTATTGTGTGCGAGCACCTTATAAGCTTTTGAAGATTGATTGTTTTTTATTGTTTATAAGGGATGAAAGTTTGCTGTAACGCTCATTTATGTAATATTTGTGATGGGAAATTCTATTGCAACACACTCATGTTCTTAAATAAGCCCAAAAGCGACGTTTCGCGTTGCACAACGTCACTATCAGCCTCATAAATTTGTCCAAACACGTCCTCATCACCTTTACACATGTTAAAAATGCTTCCGACGCCTTATCTCGACTTGTGAATGGCCATTCATGCCGCGGCTCTATTGATTCCATAAAAGTTTCACCTTGACATTTCCATAGCGTTATGTAAAAAGAATGTCGGAAAAGAAATAAACGCAAGGATATACTCGTAACTTGGAAACGTCCGAATTCGGCGAAAACGATAAATTGTCGGATGTAAGTTATGGCGGTTGCGCACTAGAGCGGTGAACGTGATGTCGTTTACCCGATGTAAATACCAATTAAACCAAACACGTTAATTGAAATTAGTAAAATGCCACTAAGCACCGTTATTAGGACCGCCTATCTTGGTCTACCTTTACAAATGTTTCCTTTAAATCACGCTAGTAAAAAATATATGTGGTTGTTATAATAACAAGGCTAGGACGAGGATTCTAATAAATGACGGGAAAACCCAGACTAATCCTACCAATAATTAACTCTACGATCTTGATTTCCGTCTTGTGTAACGCGACCAGCTGGTCGTAAGGACCAAGAAAACTTTAAAATCAGTCCAATGGGCTGAGTGTGAGTTTACATCAACTGTTTGTGAATTTGCTCACTAGTGAGCGCGTTTAAAAAATGTATTAAAATTTTAGTTCTTGAACGTTTCCGCTAGGGGCGCTGTACAATCCGTCATACATTTAATGTCATTTTGTCAGCCCACTGAGGTCCTCTATGTCTAGTGTGTGGCCAGCCTGACGCGCGGAGTCGGCCAGTCGCTTGCGCAACGCGGCTCACTTTCACCCAAACAGTAAGCCACTGCGCAGTGTCAATGCGCTCCCCGCTATGACCGCGCGGTGACTTGCAGCTTAAGCTCAAATACACTTCTCTACGCTTAACTCTCGTAACACGTATGCAGTAGTATGCAACAGCTTGCCTTACTTTCCGCAATCACAAAGTTGCCATGCTAATCTATTTTCACATGATGAAAATGAGAATTGAGAAAGACAGATAATTTTCTTCTATTCCGCAAAATACGATAAGGCTCCGGCGAAAGCCGATTAATCATTAATTTAATATAACATTATACTTCTATTAAAACACCAGCTACGCATTTTTTTTAACAATTATGTAATACGTCATTATTTGAAAACGATAGCAATTGGATATTGTGCGTTCATCACAACCAATTACAATAAAAGGAAATTATTTTGACCAAATACGCAATGACACGTTTCAATTATTCATATTGTATTAATTTTTTTGATTTCCAGAGTTCTAACCTCATTAAATAATATTTATAAGCATACACAAAAACTATATTACGTAAATTATCTGTCATCAAATCAATAACAAATTTTATGAAGGCTAGTTTCACTGAACTTACAAAAAAATATAATTTGATTATTCTGTTCAAATGCGATAAATTCCAATCATTTGATAATTTAAGCGTTTCCAATCCAGCTAGCAATCCCGATCAAACGTAAAGATAGAAAAAGCTTGAGCAATGAAGCTTTGACCCTTGGCCCTAAAGATCGCCTCCAGCTTTCACGCGGCTGGCGCTTTGTCGACTTACAGCCTTCGGCGCCGTGGGGGGTAGAATCACAGGAGCGAAAGTTAAATACTAAATCTGTGGTATTACACCATTTGCATCGCCCAGTAAGCACTATCCGAGCCTTACCATAGCTGTGGTTTTCAGTAAATCGTTTTAATTTTTAAATACATTTACACTTATTTCTTTTAATGCAATTGATTCCAATCAACTAATTATTTAACTTATTTAATAATTGTAGCGAGAAGTCAAATCAATCACGTGTTGATTTTTAATCAAGTCACTAATTAGGAGGAATCAGTGATCGATAAATACAGTAGTTTATGTGCTT